AAAACAGTATAATGTCCTTTTACACTTCAAGAACTGGAGGCAACGCTCCAGGGTTGCCCATCATTGGCAGCTGGGGCCCCGAAAGACCCTTCAAAATTTGTAGTTTTCAACATTTTCATCGGTTTAGCCCTTGTAGTCCTCTTACCCCCCTCTTTAATCTTATTTTTCCCCAAGGAAATTTTTTTCCCCGCTGGGAAATCTCCTTGTTCTCCCTTTCCGCAAAAACCGGGGACTACAGGACATGGGCCTCCCCACTTCGCCCCCTCACTCTTACAGTGGGAGTTTTTCAAAGTGATGGAACGCTCGGAAAACGACGTTTTTAAAGTGGTATTTAAGTACAAAACCCCCTTTTCTTTTCCCCTATCAATATGGGTTTTTGTATGGGTCTTCTACCATAAACCCCTTACTTTTTAAACGCTTGGATACTATGTTCGTAATGCCTTTTTCGAATAATCACTCAGTTATTTGGGCCCTATTTTTTGAAACCCTTTAGAAAGGGATTACAAATTGGAGGTATAATATTTTTTTCCCAAAGCCCCTTCCTTAGGCCTCCCCAGGCAATCTACCATCCTTCCTTAAGAAAATTTTTAACTGACAGACATTTTTCCGTGTTCAGTCCCCAAAAATGTTTTTTTTTCCCCGGGCTTTTGTCCAAGCTGAAGGTGGGCCCTCAGGGGTTGTTCTAAAACACAACATTTTTTTTCCTTGCTTTTAAAAAAGTTTGGGCCCCTGTTTTTTTCAAAAACCCAAAATTTGGTCATCACTCTATTTTTTTGATTTGCTATTTCTTGTTTCAGGCGCTGACTGTCCCTTTATTGCAGTTTCTCTCCAGCAGCCCGGGCGACCGTGTTTCCCCCTTGGGGCCCCCAAGCATGGGTTTTTAAATTTTTTAAGTACCAAAAAATCGCCAAATTACTTTCAAATAGACCTCTGTTTTTTTCCGATCATCCTTTTTTATCTCTATGGCTCCCCGTTTTAAAAAAAAAACCCCCAACGTGAAAACAGTCAGGTTTTTTAGGCCCCCCTCTTTGAACGTATTTATCCTGGAAAAACCCCACATTACCTCTCTGAAGGGAACTTGTCAAAAGGGCCCGGGTAAACCTTCTTAAAACCCTTTTCTCATCTTTCCTGGGGAGCTGATCGCAACTCCCGCTTCGCCTACATTCCGCCTCTTTTAAAACGAAACCCCGATTATGGTGACCAATTTATTCCCCCCGGCCCCTTTCCCGCTACTCTCTCCAAACCTTAACCCCCTTTCCCTCACCAAGGGATTACGTTTGTGCCCTTTTGGGGCTTTTTTTTCTCTTTCCCCCTTTGAAGGCCTCTATAAAAGAAACGAATGTTCCATCCTTGTCTGAAAACCCGTGATCCCATTACCTTCGCTACAGTAACCCCTCTCCCCGATCTCCACAATCCCTTTCCTTTTATAGAATGGTCACCGATATTAGGGAACATTTTTAATTTTGGTTTGCCCCCCCCTGTTTTGGGTCCCATCCCTTTTTTTCTTCGCCTACATTCACTCTTGTCTTTCCCTTCAGTTACCACCTTTTTATGTTCATGTAGGCCCTCTCACTTTTCCCTACAAAACCCCCGGGAAGTTCCCCGCTGTTTTTGGTCTGTTCTTTCCCCCTTTCCCTTGCTCGAAAGCTCAACTTGGGACGTTGGCTTCCCCCTCTCTTTTTCTTGAAACACTTCCACTCCCATTCTCATGCCACCCGGGGTGTACACAGATGGCTCAAAGTCTTTAGACGGCGTCGGATTCGCAGCAGGTTTTTCCCACAGCGCATGGGGGGGGCATTTACTATCTTTGCAAACATTTTTTCGCTGAACTTTTTGGGCCATTCTTGCAGCACTTATTCCCTATCTCTCTAGCCTAGTCATCCCTTTTTAGTATCCCCAACTCCCCTTTGGGGGCCTACCCGGGTATAACAAAAATTTTATACATCTCTTTCCCCCTTTTTCTCCCCCGTATCCAACTTTGGCTACGCCGTATTTTCTACCAAACAAAAGAATTTTTTTTTTTGTTGGGTCCCTGGTCATGTCGCCCTTTCAGGGGAATGAACAGGCAGAAAACTCGCGCGGTCACATACTTTAACCCACCAATTTTTCCCATTGAGTTTTCCCTTTCTTGGGGCTATTTTGCCGCAATAGCTAACCCCCCTTTGCACCCCCCTTTCAGCAACCCTTGGGCAACTCTGCTCGGTAACAAACTTCTTTCAAAAAAAACCGAGCAAAAGGTTTCTGGGGCCCTCCCTTTTGTCCCTCCCGTGCCCCAGGGTTTGGGGGAAACCAACCCCCCCCTTTTCCCCCGCCTTCGCATTGGCCCAAAACTCGCTTTCCATGGGAATCCCCATGGAGAGGCACCCTGTTCCTCTCTGTGAGCATGTCAAGTCCAGTATCGATTAAACCACATTCTTTAGCTGCCCCCCCCCCCCCCCTTTTCAAAAAGAAAAACCCAAAAACCGCCAAAAAAATTTTCCTCCAACCCCGTCTTTGTTTTTACTACTCTCCTCTTTACCTTCCCTTCTTGCTGATGGACCCCCCCTTTTTTCCTGACTCTGTCATTAATTTTTTTGACAACGACTGATTTTTCTCCACAAACCTGATGATACTTTTCGCACAACCCCCCCCAAAAACCCTTTCCCATTTCAGTCCCCTTTCTGCCCTTTAAACCCTTTTAAACCCTCCCCCGCTTCCTTCCGCCCTGCAGCTTTTTGTATTCCTTGTGGCTTACGCTTTTTTTTTTGTTATAAAAATAATAATGGGATCTTCATTGACTTACGTAAAGCTTTGATACAGTTGACCATGACTTGCTCCACGTAAAATTGTCACACTATGGTATACCTCAAGTCATACCTCAGCAACAGAAGCCAATATGTGTACGCAAATGGGGCAAGCTCTTCCGCACAACCAATTACAGTTGGTGTCCCACAGGGAAGTGTCGTGGCCCTCTTCTCTTTCTCCCTATACATAAATGACCTACCAAATGCTTCGCAATTACTCAAACCCACACTACATGTATTTGCAGATGACACTACATACTCTTCTCTCACCCGAGCCCAGTCACGCTAGCCAATACTGTAAATACCGAATTACAAAAAATATCTACCTGGATGAGGACTAACAAACTACACTAAACATTGACAAAACCTACTTCATTCAGTTTGGTAACAGAGCTACAGATGTCCCTCTTAACATAATGAAAACGGATCACCTATCACAAAGCTAACAGAGGGAAAATTCTTAGAATCCATCTTGATAATAGACTCAAATTTCATACACATATACAACAAATTTCTAAGAAAATTTCCAAGACTGTAGGCATACTATCGAAGATATGGTACTATGCTCCACAGTCAGCCCTCCTGGCCCTATATCACTCTCTTATTTACCTCTATCTTACCTATGGAATTTGTGCATGGGGCTCAGCAACAATTAACCATCTCAGACCACTAATTACCCAACAAAAGGCTGCAGTTAGAATGAAACAAATTCTCACTACAGGCAGCACACTCCACCAATATTCAAAACACTCAACCTACTCACCATACAAAACATCCATACTTATTATTGCACCTATTACATACATAGAACACTTAACTCTGATATTAACCCTCCCCTCAAACATATCCTTGCCAGCCTCAACAGAACACATGACCATAACACAAGGCACAGATAACTCTTTGATGTTCCTCGTGTCCATCTCACGCTATGCAAAAACTCAATGCACATAAAAGGCCCAAAAATCTGGAATTCATTACCTGTAAATATAAAAGAAACACTACCTGTTTATAAATTCAAGTCTCTTCTCAAAGATCACTTACTCACCCAAAACCAAATAAATACTGAATAACTGAACCTTATAAATTGTAAATCTTAAATGTTTCTCACAATTATATCACATAAATGTTAAACCTAAAACCCAATCTAACTCTATTATTTTTTAAATACACTACCTAACAGAAACTCCATTCGACTGAATGTACAGCAATGCATGCAACCATATGACCTGTCTTTGTAATACTCATTTGTGCTTTATAGTTATCTGTTTACAATAATGTTTTATCACTGATTTCATCATTGCTTAGTTAATCTTAAGTTAATTTTAAGCCAGCCCGTAATGCTATGCATATAAGTGGCTTTGGCATGCTGCTCTTACCTGTATTTTTTTGTACCTCTGTATGTATGCTCAAATTACTAAATAAATAAATAAATAATAGGGAGGAGGAGAGGGGAGCTGGGGTTTAAAGTTTTGGGAAGGAGAACCCCCCCCAAATGAGGATTTCCCGGGTTTAAAAGCCCTCCCCCTTGGGGTTATTTTCCCCTTTTTCTGCCCCTTAAATGCCATTTGGGGCCCAGTTTGAGAGTCCGGGACCCCTGTCTCAATTAAAACTGTCCACAGCCCCTCTTTTCTTTTCCCTTTTTAAGTTTTCCCCCTAAAAGGGGACATGGTTCGGTCACTAAACCCTTGTTAAAAGAGGGCTTGTTTTAAAAATTTGCTCAGGGTGGAAACTTTCTCCAAAAAAACTTTTTGGACATCTTTCCCCACTTATCTAATATTTTCCCCTTCTTCCCATCTATGGTGTTTTCCCCATTTTCCCTTTTACCACGGGGAAACCATTAGCAATTTTCCCTTTGGGCCAGGGTATTTTTTTTTTCACAGCCCCCCCAAGCACAAAACCCACAATGAAATAATCATAAAATTTTTTAATGAGAGGGCGGGTTTTATGCCACTCAAGCTAAAACAAAACCAGCGGGCTTTTGGCGCCTACGGGGACACAGCCAGAGCGGGTTTGGGGGAACGGGTTCGGCCCCCCCGGTGGTCCCGAAAATAGGGGAAACGTTCGATAAAAGGGAAAAAAGGGGGGTTTGGGAAAAAAGGGGTTCTATTTTTGAAATGTTCGATATGGGATACGTTCAAATTTTTAAAAGGTTTTCCACTGTACGTCAAGATACCCAAGTGTTATACATATTTCTTATCCTACAATTTGTTAGTGGTATACCATCAATAATATTATCATACACTGCAGAAACTTAAACAATGCCACAGAAAATTAAACCAAATGTGGAGGAGCAGTTAGCACTATACCGGCTTCAGAAAAAGCAGGAAGAAAATCGTCGAGCTTTTAAACAGCGTCTATGGAACAACTTTGTGACAATCATCACTTTGGGGACCAGAGCCCAGAGGTCTTCAGATGGTACACATGATAACAGCTCTGAAATAGGCAGTGTTAAAATGGACAGTCAAAACAGCAGTAAGGAAGTCAATTCTAAGGTAGAATATGTATTAGTCGTGTATTTGTGTAATTATTTGTCATTTATAGCACTGACCTATTGTAAATCATTAACCAAATTATATTATATAAAATGTTAAATTTGCAAACTATACCATTCTAGTACACTAACTTAATTAAATAATTGTTCAGAAAATACAAGTTAATTTTAAAGCTCCCCAGAATGCTCTCCGTAACAAGGGACTTTTTATGTATAATGTACCTTATAGAAATAAAGTTTGTAATTTGTCATGTTGCTGGGGTTCTCTTGTTCTCCAGTGGTGAAGATTTTATTTGGATTTAACCTGGAAGGTTAGTTATCCAACATAATCCAACAAATTGGATTAGTTGATATCATTCTCAGCTCTCACACTGAGGGTCCATGGATTGATTCTGGCACAGGTGAAACTTTGGGCATTTTTTTTACACCTACTGCCCTTGTTCAGCTAGCAGTAAGTAGGTGCCTGGGTGTTAGACGACTGATGTTGATTGCATCCTGGGGAACAAGAGTAACCTAAGTTGCCCAAAATGCTCTACATGATCAGGGGCCTTCTATATGGTATGCCAATGATGTCAGCTAGGTCTGTAACAGTTGTATCATGTACTTGTAGAAATAAAGATTATTATTATTATTTTATTATTATCACACTGGCCATTCCCACCAAGGCAGGGTGGCCCGAAAAAGAAAAACTTTCACCATCATTCACTCCATCACTGTCTTGCCAGAAGGGTGCTTTACACTACAGTTTTTAAACTGCAACATTAACACCCCTCCTTCAGAGTGCAGGCACTGTACTTCCCATCTCCAGCACTCAAGTCCGGCCTGCCGGTTTCCCTGAATCCCTTCATAAATGTTACTTTGCTCACACTCCAACAGCACGTCAAGTATTAAAAACCATTTGTCTCCATTCACTCCTATCAAACACGCTCACCATGCCTGCGGAAGTCCAAGCCCCTCGCACACAAAACCTCCTTTACCCCCTCCCTCCAACCTTTCCTAGGCCGACCCCTACCCCGCCTTCCTTCCACTACAGACTGATACACTCTTGAAGTTATTCTGTTTCGCTCCATTCTCTCCACATGTCCGAACCACCTCAACAACCCTTCCTCAGCCCTCTGGACAACATTTTTGGTAATCCCGCACCTCCTCCTAACTTCCAAACTACGAATTCTCTGCATTATATTCACACCACACATTGCTCTCAGACATGACATCTCCACTGCCTCCAGCCTTCTCCTCGCTGCAACATTCATCACCCATGCTTCACACCCATATAAGAGCGTTGGTAAAACTATACTCTCATACATTCCCCTCTTTGCCTCCAAGGACAAAGTTCTTTGTCTCCACAGACTCCTAAGTGCACCACTCACCCTTTTCCCCTCATCAATTCTATGATTCACCTCATCTTTCATAGACCCATCCGCTGACCACGTCCACTCCCAAATATCTGAATACATTCACCTCCTCCATACTCTCTCCCCTCCAATCTGATATCCAATCTTTCATCACCTAATCTTTTTGTTATCCTCATAACCTTACTCTATCCTGTATTCACTTTAAATTTTCTTCTTTTGCACACCCTACCAAATTCATCCACCAATCTCTGCAACTTCTCTTCAGAATCTCCCAAGAGCACAGTGTCATCAGCAAAGAGGAACTGTGACAACTCCCACTTTATGTGTGATTCTTTATCTTTTAACTCCACGCCTCTTGCCAAGACCCTCGCATTTACTTCTCTTACAACCCCATCTATAAATATATTAAACAACCACGGTGACATCACACATCCTTGTCTAAGGCTTACTTTTACTGGGAAATAATTTCCCTCTTTCCTACATACTCTAACTTGAGCCTCACTATCCTCATAAAAACTCTTTACTGCTTTCAGTAACCTACCTCCTACACCATACACCTGCAACATCTGCCACATTGCCCCCCTATCCACCCTGTCATACGCCTTTTCCCAAATCCATAAATGCCACAAAGACCTCTTTACCCCTTATCTAAATACTGTTCACTTATATGTTTCACTGTAAACACCTGGTCCACACACCCCCCTCCCTTTTTCCTAAAGCCTCCTTGTATATCTGCTATCCTATTCTCCGTCTTACTCTTAATTCTTTCAATAATAACTCTACCATACACTTTGCCAGGTATACTCAACAGACTTATCCCCCTATAATTTTTGCACTCTCTTTTACCCCCTTTTGCCTTTATACAAAGGAACAAATGCATGCTCTCTGCCATCCCTAGGTACCTTACCCTCTTCCATACATTTATTAAATAATTGCACCAACCACTCCAAAACAATATCCCCACCTGCTTTTAACATTTCTATCTTTATCCCTCAATCCCGGCTGCCTTACCGTACCCCTTTCATTTTACCTACTGCCTCACGAACTTCCCCCACACTCACAACTGGCTCTTCCTCGCTCCTACAAGATGCTGTTCCTCCTTGCCCTATACATGAAATCACAGCTTCCCTATCTTCATCAACATTTAACAATTCCTCAAAATATTCCCTCCATCTTCCCAATACCTCTAACTCTCCATTTAACTTTTTCAGGGTCCGTCCCGTAGATCTACGGCTTTACGTTCAGGGTCCAAACCGTCGATCTACGCCATGAGCTCAGCTCACTCTGATAAACTGTGAGTGGTACATTTGGGCCTAGATATGAGAGAATACATCTATGTGGTAATGTGTGTGCACCACATAAAACAGATCCTGCAGCACACTGTGCATAATGAGAGAAAAAAAATGAAATCATGATTTTTCGATTAAAACAGCAACTTTGCAGTGTTTTTTCGTATGTTTTTTATAGTTGTATTTGCGATTTCTTGGTCTCATTTGATAGAATGGACGACATATTACAGAAATAGAGATGATTTTGATTGGTTTTAGCATTGGAAATGGCTTGAAACTGAGCTCAAAGTAGCGGAAATGTTAAATTTTTGCCGATATTCAAGAGTAAACAAACGACCTCACACGTCTAATACACATCAGCTGGTGGGTCTAATATACATTCACAAATATGGTGATGATATTTATACAATTATTACAGTATTGCATGACAGTAAATCTTCTATTTTTTGGTGTGAATAAAAATTCATTATGTGAATAAAAAATCAAAATGGAATTTATTTGTAAAGCCTCAAAACATAACTAATGAACAGAGGAAATGTTAGTTTAGTGCCAGGAATGCCTACATTGTTCATTCTGGACCCTATTTTGAAATTGGAATATTTTGAACTTTGTGTTAAATTGGCCAAATTAACAATTTCCGATCACTTTATTTTGTAGTTGAAACAGTTGACTTGGCGATTTCTTGTGCTCAATCGATAGAATAGAAGTAATACTAGTGAAATAGCTAAGAATTTGGTTGATTGGAATAATGTAATTGGCCTAAAATGGGAGTCAAAGTCGGCAAAATCGCCGATTCGTAAATATCGCTGACACATCAAAATTCGCGAGAGCACAATTTCGTCAATTTTCCACCAATTTTCGTACTTTTTGTTTTATTACCTTCACAAAAAGATTCTCTACGATTTCATAAGAAAAAATAACAAATTTTTTTTTTGAAATATCTTGGACACTGGTGCGTGACTCCAGATTTGGGCCTTGGACCCTGAAAGGGTTAATAACTCTCCTCTCCTATTTTTAACTGACAAATCCATTTGTTCTCTAGGCTTTCTTAACTTGTTAATCACTCCAAAACTTTTTCTTATTTTCAACAAAATTTGTTGATAACATCTCACCCACTCTCTCATTTGCTCTCTTTTTACATTGCTTCACCACTCTCTTAACCTCTCTCTTTTTCTCCATATACTCTTCCCTCCTTGCATCACTTCTACTTTGTAAAAACCTCTCATATGCTAACTTTTTCTCCCTTACTACTCTCTTCACATCATCATTCCACCAATCGCTCCTCTTCCCTCCCGCACCCACTTTCCTGTAACCACAAACTTCTGCTGAACACTCTAACACTACATTTTTAAACCTACCCCATACCTCTTCGACCCCATTGCCTATGCTCTCATTAGCCCATCTATCCTCCAATAGCTGTTTATATTCTTACCCTAACTGCCTCCTCTTTTAGTTTAAAACCTTCACCTCTCTCTTCCCTGATGCTTCTATTCTCCTTGTAAACCCATCTACCTTTTACTCTCAGTGTAGCTACAACTAGAAAGTGAAACTGATATATCTGTGGCCCCTCTATAAACATGTACATCCTGAAGTCTACTCAACAGTCTTTTATCTACCAATACATAATCCAACAAACTACTGTCATTTCGCCCTACATCATATCTTGTATACTTATTTATCCTCTTTTTCTAACCCTTTCAGGGTCCGTCCCGTAGATCTAAAGCTTTAACGTTCAGGGTCCAAAACCGTAGATCTACGTCATGAGCTCAGCTCACTCTGATAAACTGTGAGTGGTACATTTGGGGCCCAGAAAATGAGAGAATACATCTATGTGGTATGTGTGCACCACATAAAACAGATCCTGCAGCACACTGTGTATAATGAGAGAAAAAACTGAAATCATGATTTTTCGATTAAAACAGCGACTTTGCAGTGTTTTTTCGTATGTTTTTTATAGTTGTATTTGCGATTTCTTGGTCTCAATTGATAGAATGGAAGACATATTACAGAAATGGAGATGATTTTGATTGGTTTTAGCACTGGAAATGGCTTGAAACTGAGCTCAAAGTAGCAAAAATGTTAAATTTTTGCCGATATTCAAGAGTAAACAAACGACCTCACACGTCTAATACACGCCAGCTGGTGGGTCTAATATGCATTCACAAATATGGTGATGATATTTATACAATTATTACAGTATTGCATAACAGTAAATCTTCTATTTTTTGGTGTGAATAAAAATTCATTATGTGAATAAAAAATCAAAATGGAATTTATTTGTAAAGCCTCAAAACGTAACTAATGAACAGAGGAAATGTTAGTTTAGTTCCAGGAATACCTACAATGTTTATTCTGGA